TAGTGGAAGCCTGCAGAGGGCCTTTGTGCGCATTAGAACGAGGCACCCTGGGGCAGATGGAGCCCCCAGGTGCAGGGCCCTGCCTGACCCTACAAAGCCGGGCCAGCAGGAGTGGTGCTGAGTGGGAGGGAGGCAGGTGATGGGGTTCCTGCACCGGTAATGCTCTGTATGCACTGTGGAGTGGGTCCAGGCTGGAGGAGCAAGGGCCAGACAAGCAAGGAGGGGACATTAGCAAGGTGGCCTGCATCCGAGTCTCCCAGGGTCCCCTGCTCTCTGCACCAGGAAGTACTTAGGGCCAGGCCATGGCCAGGCAGGCTTCCTGGCCTCAGCTCTGCTCTCTGTGCCCGCCTCAGCAGGGACAGCCTGGAGCAGGATGGTGGCTGCGGGATGGGGTGCCAACTGTTATTGTGCCATCCTGCTTCCCCAGCGAATCTGGTCAGCAGAGTTCCTGTACCCCCCCCCCTTCAAGTGAGCCTGGCCTGACGCAACAAGTTCCCCTCAGCCCCCTTGGACGCTCCCTGTGTCTGGCTCCCACCCCACTCTGCTGCACGGGAACCAGAGAGTCCCAGCAGGGAAAGGGCGGTGTGCAGCCTCGCATGGATCTGCTTGTGGGGAGCACTCTGCAGCCCAGCCCAAGCCTTGAAGGAAGCCCAGCTCTCCTGCAGCCATCCATCCTCCAGCCACTTTGCAGAGCCAGGGAAACCAGCACTGGGGGGTCAAGGGCTTCTGTGGGCCACGAGGGACCCCTGCACTCATGGCCCTGGCAGAAGGCAGGGACAGGGGCAGGCAGAGCTGGTATGCTCATGACAGATCCTTACCCAGGGGCTCATTTAGAGCACGGGGTCAGACTCGGCGGCTGCGTGGAGACAAGGAGCACAGGAGGAGGGGGCATTGAGGGGCCTCCCTCCCCAGGAGGAGCAAGGCTGCCAGGGAGTAGCTGCCGGCTGGCGAACAGGAGTTAACAGGAGTTGCTGGAATGCGGCCTGCAAGTGCACAGCTCTGTCCAGGCCCAGTCTTGTCTCCGTCCAGCCTGGAGCCCAGCTGACCTGCTGTGCAGCCCTGGGTCCTAAGCTCAGGCTGGAGAGAGCGGAGCTGAAGACCAGGAGAGCCTGTCTGGGGCACACTGTGGGGAGCCTCGTAGCTGGGAGCTGACCCGGCGTAGAGCGTGGGGGTGGTGTCTCAGGGGCCTGACCTGAGGTGGGGTGGGGGGCACTGAACTGAGGCCAGCAGGGGAGCCCCTGCGAGGGAGGGGCAGAAAAGAGCCAGGGGCTGGTGGGGGAGGTCGATGAGGAAGTGAACTGGGATTGGCTGCTGTCTGTCCAGGAGGGCAGACTGGGGCCAGGAGAGGGGCATTGTTTTTAAATAGATTTTATTTTTTAGAGCAGTTTTAGGTTTACAGGCAAACTGTGCGGAAAGTCCAGGGGGCCCCATGGCCCCTTTTTCCGGCGCACTGTCTCCCCTGTGACTCATGTCTTGCCTTCCTGGGGTACATTTGCTGCAACTGGTGACTCGCGGTCAGTACACAATGATTAACTCATGTCTACAGTTTACATCAGGGCTCAGTCTTCGTGTCGTACAGCCCTCTGAACGCCAAGTCTCTCCCCCTGCTGGGTTTTGACAAAAGCATAATGTCATGTGTCCACTATTTCAATATCATGCAAAAGAGTTTCAGAGCCCTAGAAATATCCTGTGCCATATATTCATCCCTCCCCTCCCCCTGAACAACCACGGCTCTTCTGTACAGTTCTGACAGCGGCGTTTTAGGCCCAGGAGTTCTCGGCATCTCTTCTGCGGCCTCCCTCTGGTGTTCTGTGGGCCCCGTGGGCCCCGTGTGCGCCTCCCTCTGGTGGTCTGTGGGCCCCGTGTGCGCCTCCCTCTGGTGGTCTGTGGGCCCCGTGGGCCCCGTGTGCGCCTCCCTCTCCATGGCTCTGTGTGCATGTCTGTATGTGCCTCTGGATGTATCTGCCTTGTGTCTCTGCGTTTCTGGGTGTGTCTCTATACGTCTCTCCTTCTGTCTCTGTGTGTGTTTCTCTGACTCTCTGGCCCTTTCCACCTCTCTCTTCCTAGTCTGTGCTCCTTCTTCTTTCTCTGCTATAGTTTCATCTTGGGCTCTTATGAGGTTTTTTATGCCATGGGCTCCAAAGGAGAGCAGCAGTCACCGGGGGAAACCCTGAGGTGGGGGACACACAGGGTATTGATGTGTGAGGGATACAGGGGCCTCACTCTCTGGTTCCTGTCAAGGCAGAAAGAGGCCAGCATGGTGTGGGGACAGGGACCAGGGCAGGGTGTGGCACACACAGCTCTGAGTTTGGGACATCAGTCCAGATGCCCACCTGCCACCCACAGCCCTTGGTTTGGTGGGCCACACAGTCCAGCTCCTACTTGATGGTAAATATACGCACTTCTCATTTATCAGCGTGGTTAGGTTCTAAAGACCAGGTCATTATGCAAAAATGGGTGCTATGTAAAAATGGAGGATGACTACATCAGATCACAAAATGGAGGATGACTACACCATTACATAACTGCCAAATTACATTATTACATAGCTGCCAAACCATGAGAATCATGGCCTAGCCAAGACGACCTTAACCATCACAGCCAGCGTTACTCTCACCTTGCACCTCAGCGTTTGTTACTACCAGATGTATGTCGTTAATGTGCAAAATAGTCAGATAGTAGATTAGTTACTATTGTGAAAATGTCAGATAATGAGCTGGGCGGCGAGTGAGGATCAGGTGTACACAGCTCCATGACAGCTCTCAGCCTAGCTGCAGCAGTAGGGTTAATGTACAGAAACACTGCAGGGACACTGGAATGAAGCACTTCCCAGGGCTTCAGAGAAATGACAGCATCAGCGTCCTGTTGTGCGTGGGTGGAGGGTAGTGTGTGTGTGAGTAGGTGTGTCCCTTGTGGGGGCAGCATGCTGGAGGAGAGAGAGAAATCACCAAATTTTCCAAAGGATCTGTGGTTAACACAAAGCTGCGTACTTTTGCTTTAGAATCCCCAAACTTCATCTGTCTACCAAGTTAGGCCATAAGAAAAATCCTAAACTCCATTAAGATTTCCATCCCCACCCCTACAAGAGTAACAAGGTCCTTTGTAGAGCTTCAACTGACCCCATCACCTTGGGCACTGTTGGGGATGGTCAGCAAACATGGCTTTGATGCTCTTGGGAGACCAGTGCCACTGCAGCGTCCACTCTGTCATTCAACCTCCCGAGGGCCAGCACTCAGGGGACCAGTGTCTTGAGCTAAGCTGGAAAGCCTGGTCTCTCCCAATGCACAGGCCTGCTTTCATTTACAAGGAGTGGGGTCCTTCCTGTTCTGCCTCTGCCTGGGGACACACGTGCAGCATCTCCCCTCCTCATCCTCCTGACCCCAGCCCCAGCCTCTCTGGTCTTCGATGCGTTGTCATTTCACTCCAGCCTTAATGGTTTGGTTTTGCTCTATCTGTTAGCTTCCCCCGATTCATTTTAGAGACCAGCAGGGCCTGGTGGGGCAGGACAGCGTAACACAGGGGCTGCAGTTCAGATGGTCGGGTTCTCCCTCCAGCTCTGCCACTTAAAACTCCCTGGGACCTTGGGCATGTTGTTAAGTACTCGATGCCCCCGTTCCTGTTTATCCAAAGGGGCTGGCGACCGTGCCTAGATCATGGAGCACTGCTGTGAGTACTGTAATACAAGTGATGCACCCAATACCTCGCTACAAGTAAGTGGTCAGTTCACGTGCTTCTTCCTCGCTGGGCCCACAGCACTGCCATAGCCCTGTAACGCCCAGCCGCTGGCGCCAGGAGCCACGGCTCATAAGCTGTGTCCACATCTCAAGCTTCAAGCACCGGCTAAAAGTGCTAGGCCACCATCTGTCTGTCACTTTGTCGTATGTTGCTATGACGCTGGAAGCTATGCCACCAGTATTTCAAATACCAGTAGGGTCCCCCATGGTGGACAGGTTTCAGCAGAGTTTCCTGACTAAGACAGACTAGGAAGAAAGGCCTGGTGATCAACTTCCAAAAATCAGACAATAAAACCTCCATGGATCACAACAGAATACTGTTGTATACAGTGCTGGAATGCGAGCCCCCTAGACTAGAAGGCACTCAAAATACACAGCGGCTGCAACAATGGACTCGAGCAGACCGATGATCGTGAAAATGGCGCGGGAACACGTAATGTTTCGTTCTGTTGTACGTGGGGTTGCCGTAAGTCAGAGCTGATGTGATGGCAGCTAACAACAACAGCGTGTGCCTGTGTCAGATGCTAAAGGCCAAACAAGTAACAGGGCTCTGCACTGCTCACAGGAGGCTCCCAGTCCAGTGGGGAGGCCAGCAAGGAAACACATTAAATGAGCTAATGGTTGAGAAGCAGGTGGGACAGTGCCTGGCACGCAGTGAGTGCCCTGTAAATGCAATGAAATCAATATGAGTGTGATCGGTTGTGATGGGGTCAGTATATCGTGTTGTGAGGGCACTCGGAGGGTGGACAGCTAACCCAGTTCTGAGGAGTCAGGGGAACGTGCCATGTAACCAAGCCCAGGTCAAGGAGGAGACGGGAGAAGATCATGCCATGCAGGGGAAAGACTCAGAAAAAGAGATGACCTGCCTGTTTGCAGACCTGGAAGAAAGGTAGTCTGGCTGGAATGAGAGGGCAGTGTCACACTTGGCTGCCAATTGAGTCCACCCAGAGGTGCCTCAGAAGAAAGACCTGGTAATCTACTTCTGAAAAATCAGCCACTGAAAACCCTGTGGAGCACAATTCTACTCTGACACATATAGGGTCGCCATGAGTCGGAGTTGACTTGATGGCAACTGGTTTGATGGGTGGGTATGATGGAAGGAGGCTGGAGAGGTAGGTGGAGGTCTGGTTGTGGGGGTCTTGGAAACCATGTTAAAACACTCGTTTAATTGGACTCAATGAAACCTTATTTCTGATGTGGGGTTTGGGGAGAGCTCTATCCAACCAGCAAGGCTCCAAGGCACCCTCCAACAATCAGGAGCCCATCTCCGTGCTCTTGCCGTGGTGGCCAAGAGGGAGGGGGCAAGCCAGGCTAGCCCCCGTGTACCTGTTGTGGGGGCAGCTGGGAACATGGGTTTGACCTGTGCCCCCTGGTCTCATCACAACCAGCTTCACTCTAACCAGACTCTGTTTTCTTTCTTTGCAGATGTTGGAAAAGCCCAAGTGTTGGCAACGGGCGAGTCTGCTGTCACTGAAACCGGTGGGTCGATGCCCAAGCTTACTCTGTGGGGTTGAGGGCAGGAAGGAGCGCCCCAAAAGGCATGGGCAGGTGAACGCAGGGCTGGCCTTTGTTCCTTGTGCGTCAGGACAGAGCAGAGGCCCCTGAGTGGGGCAAGGTCCTGCACTAGAGCCTAGAGGTTTCCAGTCCCTGTCCTCAAAGAGGACATGAGACACCACAAGGCCACCGTGTCCCCTATGTGCCAGGTGAGCATGCTGCATTCTGCCGCAGGCTCCCCAACAAACATGACTGCCCTGGTCTGGGCCCTGGCTGTGCTGCAGCTTCCATCAGGACCTGCCTGCTCCTCCCACCCCTGGGGTTCGCCTCCAGGGCAAGGTCCTTGTGTGCAGCCCAGATGGCCCTGTTCCTGGTGTTCGAGTGAGTTCTTTCTCTGGCCGTCTTCCCCGGTAAACTGGGGGCCCTTCCAAGACGGATACAGGGGCTGCCTCATTGTTTACCTTCAGCACTCACCACAGAGCAGGTGAGTGACTTGTGTTTTATAAAGGAGTAAAGGAATGGACGAAGGATACCTGAGGAGAGGCTGCAGGTGTCAGAGAAATGAGCAACCAGCCACTTGGGACTGTGGGCCAAATCCTGTCGGGGCATTCGTTCACCCATCCTTGAAAGGTGGCAATGACTTGGATACCTGAAGGACCAAGGTTGGCCTTCCAGGAAGAGGGAGCAGGTGTGGGTGACCGGTGGGGTGACAGCCTCACTGCTCCCGGAGAGTGGACGGGAGGTTGGCCTGGCAGGTCAGACTTTGTCCCGAGTGGAACGGGAGCCGTGGAGACCTTTGAGCAGCACGGTGACTCGTTAAGCCCATTTCTCACTCCTTCCCTGGGTTGCAGATGCCAAATACGCCATCATCGGGACTGCTCTGGGAGTAGCCATATCTGCGGGCTTCCTGGCCCTGAAGATCTGCATGTACCGCAAGCACGTGTTTGACAATGACTCCTCAGGTCAGGAGGACACAGCCCGGTTGGACAAACCCGGTACTCCCAGCCCAGCAGCTGGGCCCCCACACCAGAGAAGGGGCTCCATACTGTTGGCCAGAGGAAGACCAACAGTCTGGAAGGCACAGAGCCAGGCAGGCTGGGGAGGAGCACAGTGCTGCTCTCTTTCTCTGCCTGTCTCTCTCCTCTCCCTTCTCTCTCCCTCCCTCTCTCTGTCTTCCTCTCTCCCCTCCCTCTTTCCCACCCCACTCTCTTCTCTCTCTCCCTTCTCTCCCCTCCCCTTTTCTCTCTCTCTTCCCCTTCTCCATTTTCTCCCTCTTCCCCCTGCTTTCCTGCTCTCCCTCTTTCACTCTCTCTCTCCCTGTTTTCTTTTTCATTCAGTCACTCTTGGTATTCCTGAGAATCGGCTTTCCTGGGAGAAAGAGGGCAGAGGTGCTAAAATTAGCTTCAGACAGAAACTGATATTCTTTTTTCTAAATGATCAGGTAAAATTGATCCCAGCAGGGGTAGGTGGTGGGAGGTGCTGCCAGCACCCGTCATGTGAGCCTCATACATTTTTTTTCCATAAACTGAGCACAACAAACCCACCCAGAGCCATGCTGAATGATGCCTCATGCTTCAAACAGCACTGGGCTGCAAGGCTCTCTGGTCCTGTAGCACTGCAGGGGAGCACTCCTGTAGCAATGCAGGGGAGAGGTCATGTAGCACTGCAGGGGAGAGGTCATGTGGCACTGCAGGGGAGAGGTCATGTAGCACT